GAAATTGAACGCTCTACAAAAAAGTTTCAATATATTTTTTCATAGAGTGAGCCGTTCTAAAGGTATTCAAACTTAAAGGTGCCTTTAACATTTCGAATCGCGGCACGTTAGCGTACCTCTAGTCACTGTGTAATCCGAACGGTAATATACCGACTGAGCCGATATAATCTTTTATCAGAGTTATCGACTTTTAAATTATAAAAAAAAGAAAGATTAAAAATTCAATACAATAACAAATTCATTGTTTTATTTAATCTATTATAATTATTGAACAAATTTATTGAACACAAATAACTTTTTTTGATAGTAAATAAACTAAAATGGAAAAAAAAATTGAGATGTAAGTGTTATTTTCTTTCTATACGAAAATAATTATTTTTCCTTAAAATAATTTTTAAGACATAAAAAAGTATTAGTTTAATAAAATAAAAGTCATAATTTCATACATTTTCAAGTTTGAATACCTTCAGAACGGCTTACTCTATGAAAAAATAAATTAATACTTTTTTGTAGAGCGTTCAATTTTCTACCAAAATAATTTTTCAGTTCGTTTTTACAATGCTTAAATGTTAAGATACAAAAATAAGAAACAAGAAATTTTTTTTCCCATGTTATTTAAATGGAAAATGGAAAGTAAGGAACAGGCACCACTTAATGTTATTATTAAGAGCTTAAATTTTTAGAAGCTTCCTTTTTAACCGTCCTAAAAGTTTTTAGCCTGTTTTTTAGTTGAAAAAAAGAAGTTGCTCAAAAATGACACGCCCTAATATATATATATATATATATATATATACGAGCCCTGTCTCAGTGAAGTTGGCCCAACTAACAAAAATAGTTTTTTGAAGATATTTAGAATATTATAAGGTAATTAATTAATTACTTTATAATTCTATAAATAACGTTTATTAAATTTTCTACCGTTAAATTGTATTTTTAAGTACCTAATAAAAAAATATTTAAAATTCTCTTATATTGTCCGTAAACCAAAAATTAAAAAAAAATTTTTTTTTAAATAAAAACATTTTAATTGGAAACTACCACTGCGTAACATCTCCTTTATGGCTTATTACTGCCTGTATACGTCTCGGCATGGTGTCAACCAATTTTTGACAATCATCCGGCGTAAAATTATTCCAAATTTCTTGCAGGCGAGCACGCAACTCTAAGACGGTTCTTGCGGGCTGTTCTCTGAGCTTCTTTTTCATAATATGCCACAAAGTTTCTATAGGCGAAAGATCTGGACTACTAGATGTCTATTTTAAAAGTGAAATATTATTTTCTATCATCCAAGCTTTCACTATTTTAGCCGTATCACACGCTGCACCATCTTGTTGGAAGATGCATTAAATATCATTTAAACGCATTTCTTCAATTTGCAGTTTTAAGTTATGTTTTAGGACGTAAATATATTTATCAGCATTCTTAATGCCCTCTACAAAGTGTAATTTACCGATCCCTTTAGCTGACATAGATCCCCAAATCATCACAGAGGCCGGAAACTTTACTTTACAGTCATTGTGAAAGACTTCTGCTTTAGTTTTAATGACTCGGCTTCGATTATCACCAACGCAAACTTCAAATCTAGCTTCGTCACTACATATAGATTTGAAGTTTGCGTTGGTGATAATCGAAGCCGAGTCATTATAGCTAAAGCAGAAGTCTTTCACAATGACTGTCTTAAGAAAAAAGTAAAGTTTCCAGCCTCTGTGATGATTTGGGGATCTATTTAATTGAATCCCATTGATTTTGACACCAAGTCCTGTGCTCTTTTGCCCAGAGAAGTCTATTTTTCTTCTGTTTTTTTGTCAATAAAGGTTTTTCCTTTGCCTACAGATAGTAAAATTAAAAATAAATAAATATCGTATACATTATAAGCAAACCTTGTAAGTTTTAAACCCAAGTTTTTGAGCAGCTCTATGACAGGTTGGTCTTGAAAAACATTTACTCGTTGCCTGATTTCACAAAACTTTTAATTCACCGTAATTAGCCCTACGATTTTGAACGATAATTCTTCTTAAAGCCCTTAAATTTTTATCAGAATAGTGAGGACGACTTCCATTTTTTGGTTTCTGCGCCACATATCCTGTAGTTTTCTGCAGTTTAATAATATTTTGCACTGTATATCGTGACAAATTAACAGTTTCAGCGATTTGTGCAGCAGATTTTCTTTTTAAATGCAAGTGAATTATCACTTTTCTTATTTCTTCAGAAACAGCTTTTCCCCGGGATATTATTATTTGTCAACCACACCGAAAGCATAAATATATACTGTAATGTCACTACCGACTTGCTTACAATTATTTAAATGTCAAATATTATCTTTACTTTTAGCACAGCCGACTTGCATTAAAAAATCTAGCCATCCAAGTTAATGCATTTTTGTCGATTTTTTTGTATTGTAACCAAACATCCAACTTAAAACCAAATAATATACATACACATATTTAAAAAAAAAAATTACAACATGAAGATTGACCAAGAATTACATATGATAAAAAATTGTTGGCTTTTCATCGCATAAAATTACAAATTTTATATTTTGAGTGGTTGGGCCAACTTCTTTGAGACAGGGCTCGTATGTATATATTTACATATATTTACATCCCGCTATAGTTGCGAGGTCCGACCGTCCTAAGATCGTTGTGAGGCTCGGTGACGAGATGGAATGCAATTCAGTCTTGTAACATTGTTTGCCTACTACTGGCGTAAAGTAGAAAACCTATTGTTCTGAGATAATATATATATATATATATATATATATATTAGGGTGCTTCATTTTTTTTCCACCTGAAAATCTTGTAGCCGGTCACAAAAATTTTGAGCTATTACAAAGCTCTTTATTTTAAGCCGTTGCTATTCAATTTTTAAATATTTCCCTTTAAAAACCATTAAAAACAATTTCGGTTTTTAAATTTTTATACAGGTTGAAATTATCTTCAAAAATGTATATTTAGCAAGTCTGTAAGTTGAATATGTTCTTTACAAATAGCCGTTCTACTCGAAAATCTTCTAAAATAGCAGTAAATCGTATTTGGAGACTTAAGTATTGATTGTAGATAAAAACGTAAGTGACAGTTTTTTAGGGAATTTTGTGCCCTGCAAATTTATTAAGAAATATTTTTCTGTATCACTTATAGTTTAGCTTGTACAGACACTCTTTCACGTAACTCTAATAGTATATTACAGTCGTCAGAAACTGAATTTTTAAGAATTTTACATTTTGAGTGGCTAAACTATTTATAAGTAAAACAGAAAAATATTTCTTAACAAATTTTTAGGGCACAAAATTCCCTACAAAATTGTAATTTACGTTATTTATTTACAATCAATAGTTTAGTCTCCAAATACGATTTACTGCTATTTAAGAAGCTTCTCGAGTAGAACGGCAATTTCTGAAGAACATATTCAACTTACAGACTTGCTTAAATAGACATTTTTGTTATCTGGGTACCTGTTCCTTTTTTGCTTGGATAAATGATATCGTTGTTTTAAGAGGTAAAAACAATGATGATATATAGAGTAGGTCAGTGACATCCACTGGCTCCCTGGTTTTGTCAACAAAATTTCATAATTGTTTTATTAAAAAACAGTAGCTCTAATACAAAAAATAGAGAAAAAACTTTCTTGTTTTGGCGTGTACTATCATCCCCCCAAAGGATGACAATTTATTAGGTGACAACCGGTACAGAAATACTTTATTTTTGTAGGAAGTTTAAAAGTCAAATTATTATATACCTCCGTACAGTAATGAGAATTACATACAAAGAGTGGTGGTTTTCCGCTTTTAGCTCGAAATCATTGCAGAAAACTAAAAATTACAGTTCACTGTAGAATGAATTCCTACACATAACCTATAATATTTTATATGTAAAACGTCAAACCTATGACAAAATGTAACAAACTCGAGAATTTCAATGTAAGTACAGAATTATTAAACGCTTAAAATAGTATATTCTGTAACAAGTTTGGAATACAGCATATTCCGCTCGAGTGAAAAGTTTGTCACACGAGCCGAAGGCGAGTGTGACGGTTTCACGAGAGCGGAATATGCAATTCCAAACGTGTTTCAGACTATACTTTTTCTACGCTTATAAAAAATAACAGAAATAATTTAATTGGAAAAAAGTTAGGTTATCTTTTGACAGATGTTAGATTTTATGATGGTAGTAAATAAGATAATTTTTAAATAAGCTTATAAAAATTACTTACATAATTTTGCAGAACCTAAATTAGGAAGTATAAAGAAGAAATGGACAAATTGTAAGGAATGACAAATAAGTTATTATTTGAATTTCAAATTTTGAATTAACTAGTGACAGACGTAAACAATTAACCAGTGCTGCCATCTCTTTGGGACTAAGTCAAACCTAAATATTCTAATAGAATCCTACTAAATCGGCCAAACAGAATTACAACTAGCTTGTAAAGAAGATATATTTTGGGTATTTTTATTAACGCAAACTGTTTTAAATCCTATTGTATACACTACCGATTAATATTTTCTACCGGGCCTTTCTGAAAAAACTAGATTTGGTAGGAATACAAGTGAGTTATAAAATAAACATAGAGATGTCGCCCCCAGTGCTCATTCCATCATTAAAACCTGTGCGGAATAATTATTCTGTAACACTTTATGGAATATACGTAATTCCAGATTAAAAAGTCATATAAGAACTGTCAAATTCCGTAATAAGCGTAGAAAAAATAGTATACACAACTCGATGGAGGAAGCATTTTAACTGCCTCGTTCAGATCTGCAAACGCAAACGCTGGGCTTTAATAAGAGCTTTCTCTGCCTGTTAGATAATTTACTATTTTATCATTGAAATTTGATTCGAAAAAATTAAATTTAACAGTCACATACAAAACAAAAATAGTAATGGAAATGATAGAAAGGAAAAATAGCTGCTATATAAAAATAGCAACAGCGTTAAGCTATTAAATACTAATACATTTAAGTTTAAAGATAAATATAAAATAGTACTTTAAAAGGTACTCACATTAAGAGCCTCTTGACCGGTACCTTCCCCATCAATAACAGCAGCAGGATCAAAATTGAGATCTGAGGGAATTGCAGGAATAGAATTTTCCGTATTTCCATTGTTGCTATTGGTGTTTGTGTTGCTACTGTTTGATGAGTTGCTAGTATTGTGGTTGTCATTTGCAGGAGGAACACTTGGTGGCCCTGTCCCACCACCAGGGGTGTGCGCTGAACCTGGCGTACCTCCAGGAGTATGAGGCGTGTGAGGAGTATGAGGGGTATGTGGTGTGTGAGGCATCTAAAATCATATACAAATTATTGATTTTTATATAATAAATAGTGCAGGTAATATTTTACTTGTTCATTTAAACTCTTTTCCATAGCATTTAATGGATCCAATGAGTTCACAGACTCGCTGAGATGGGACAACGGACCGTTTCCAGTGAGATATTCATTATTTGTAGAGTTCGACGTCATGTCGTACATATTATTTCTAGAGTTATTATAGGAAGGCGGGCCATTCATCATGGATCCGCTTGCAATACTGTTCATATCTGGAGGTAAGTAGGGTGACATCGCCTGTGACATATCCCAGTTGTTCATCGTAGGGAGAGTCATACTACCGGGTGACATTGCCTTGCTTAACCGTTTGGCTCCACAGGAGTCATTCTCTTCATTTTCCATCTAAAATAATAATGGTTTAATATCATGCATAAATGCTTAATTTATTTTATTTTACCTTAATTCCAGGTATTACTTTAGCAGACTTCCAATTCGCTGAGCTATCAATTGTGACCTCTTCGACATCAGATGTATTTAGCGTATTTAAAATGCCCCACATGTACTGGTCAACTTCTAGGCCTTCCAATTGCGCTGGCTTACTACAAATTAAGAAAATGTAATAAAATTTCATGATTATTTTAATAAAATAAAACTTACTTGCAAACAGGACACCTCCACGACCCACGTTCACAATTCAATTGCAAATACGACTCCAAATCGAAGCACTGTATATGTTTACATTCATGACCTCGCGCTGGTAAGGTTATTCGCTTAAAAGTAATGGGACACTTTAGAGAGACTTTTAGCGCTGTCTGTTCCACTGCGTCCCTATCCCGTTCCATATTTGGTCCGGTATTATTAAAGTTTCTTTTAATCTTAGCTATACAGTGATCGGCAGTTAGTAACCGTTTTCGAAGTAGACCTTGTAACACGGATCGCACGCTCGGTCTATGAACCAATTGAAGAACAAACAGATGCGACTAAAACAATAAACCCAATTAGAACAAATATTTAATTATGACTTTAATTATTCTAGACTTACACAGCAGCAAGCTGCTACCGTAATTTGTATGGTATTTCTACCTGGTTGACAAACGTCTTTAAGGTATAGCGGCTTGTGTGATGTCTTATTTTCTCCCCGATCTATAATAAGTGGTGTTGCATTTACTGAAACTTGTACTGAAGCAGGCCAATTGGTGTTCATTTGTCGATCTTCGTGGTGGAAGCACTTTAACTGTAACTCTAAATCTGATCTCCACATCAGCGTTTGGTGTACTGTTGGTTTGAGTTGGAAAACATGGTTGCTAACCGCTAAGTTATGCTCTAATCGAAAGGGTGGTAATATAATTCCGTCTCTCACTGGGAAAGTAAGGCGTAATTCATCATCTTCTAAAAAAATGTTTTTTAAATTAACTAAGATATAATTCAGATGTTTATATCACACTTACTTTGTGTGAGTATTGGAGGTTTCAGTTCATTAAAATTTGGTTTAACATCAGGATTAGGGCTTATATATGGAGGCATGCTGCTCGCAGGCGTCAATGGAGGTGTTGGGTTACCAGGAATGGGACTATGTTGGTAGTTCATGCTACTCCTCATTGCAACGTCTTGTTGAAACTGACTATTGTTGCTATACATTGAACCGGAACTATTCATATTATACTGACCAGAATTATTTGAAGGAAATTGGTTCGTGGAACCACTAGGGAAATACTGTCCTTGGTTTGTATATGGAGGAGTAGATTGTCTCATACCTCTTCCGCAAATAGGCCCAGAATTATTTGTAGGGCCTAAGGTTTGTTGACTTGGGTATTGATTAAAATTTGGCTGCCTCGTTCCATAGTTTGGATATTGTGTATTTGGATTAAAATTTGGATTCATATTGGGGTTTATGTTTGGGTTCATTCCTTGGTTTATATTCGTATTCATGGTATGGCATGGTCCGTTACTTGGGTAAGATTGTTGTTGTCCGCGCTTTTGAGTCATGTGCATTGCTGGTGATGGGTATGGGTTCATCCTCCTTGGGTACATGGAGTTATTGGTAGGTCCAGGTCCTTGCATACCCATTTTAGGTCCCATATTGCCTCCCATGTTTCCCATTACATTATTGTGCATGCCCCCCATGTTCATGTTAGACAAGTTATTCATAGGGTTCATACCGTTCATTCCATTCATACCGTTCATGGGAAACATTCTTTGCTGATAGCCATGAGAATACTGCTGGTTATTAAAGTGACTGTTGTCTTGCAGAGCCACCACACTTGCGGTGGCTGTGGCAGTTGCAGTTGCAGCCGCTACCATCGCAGCTGTGGACAGTGCATTACTACCACCGTAACCCCCTTCACCACCATTCATCCCATTACTTGCTCCATAACTGCCCACACTAAAATAACAGCAATTATTACAAATCTTGTGGACAATAAATAATACAAAATCCGGTATTTTAAATAAAAAAATCACTAGTTATAACGCATACATATGTATATTCAACTATTATGCTCATTCAATCATTAAACTCGAAACTATCATCATAAAATCATATAGTACCCTCGCTTTTTCATTTTTTTTTCAGGACAAACAGTGTGTGAATAAAATAGGTAACAATGACTTGGGAAAGAAATACACGCTTTCCTAGGGTACAAAGGGAAATGAATAACGTTTGAATTTGCCAAACCGGTGGCAGCAGTTCTAAACAATACACAATGCGCAGAGGGATATACACAATTGTCTGGAAATATAGTTTACCATAGGGATAAAAATATAATGCCACATGTATTCATGTTATCGAATTTATTTGCTTAATGCTTCATATCCAATAAATTACAATGATTTTTCTGATTTTAATGATGTACATAGATACTTAATTATTATACCTATGTAAAGTCTGCATAACAGCTCACATTTTAAAAAATCATATATTTTATTTATGTATGTATTTATGTACGAAAATCTAATAATTTAAAGATTTTGGAAATATATTTAATTCAACAAAGGACTTTATTTTTAAAAGTAGTATAACTTTTATCTAAGGCCAGCATACCCTTTATATTAAAAAAAATCTTTTTTATTGTCCGAAATTAAGTTGTCAGTAGGTAAAAGCATTAAATTAGCTCAGTTCCATTCAAAAAATAAATTCTAAGAATAATACTGTCTCAAGCTCTTGGAAATGCACATCGAAGGATTCTTAATTTGTAGAGGTAACCAGCAGCATGTGATGAAGTTGTTTACATAACCTTTTGTTATGGTATATTTGTGTAAAATTTTTTAATTGAACTGTTTTCATAATAACAATTTTAATTAATACCTATGTATTATATTAATAATTATTAATAGTTAAGTAAAACTAATTGTTTAATATGCGATAAAGTATTAATAATACTTGGGATTTATTTATTTGTTTAAGGTTTTTAATAGCTTTGTTTCAGACTGTACAGTATTTTGAAACATTTGGCTCACAGGATGTCAATCCCCGTTCTATGAATCGAAGGAGCCACCCTTCATTAGCCGACAAGCAAATCAGGCATCGCTTCCTCTACCCTCGCTGACTAGGTCACCTTTGTTAGGAATAACCCACCCCTAATTGGTCGCCTATTTGTTGTGAATACTAGGGTAAAAACTCAGTATTTTATATTACAAAAAATAGCATTGATTTCTGCCGAATATTTGTCCATTGTAAATCAGTTGCTGATGATTGTTTATTGCTTTTCGATATTGCTTTTTAAAGTACCTAAGTAAATGTTATATTTTTTACTATCAAGGATATTGTATGAGGTAAGCCCATGTCTGACGGTGCAACTTCTAGCGGCGACTTTGTTGCGGCGACCAGTTGCAGCGACTTTGTGTTTACTCGATGCAACCAAATTGACGCTATTTTTTACTAGGATATCCGAAAATTTCTACGTTGAAATTTTTTTAATTATAATATATTTTGTGGTGTTAAAACCCCAAAAGCCTGTTTGGTTCATTTTTACAGGCTTGTAAATAAAAAAACGGATAGTTTATAAAGATTAAACGCAAATCGCAAGATAAAACTCATCTATCATTCCACAGCTGATAAATATTGAGTACCAACCAAAATATTTAGTGAAAATTCGTAAATCCCTATAAATGTTACTATAGAATAGTATACATGTTCTATTTTAGGACAAGTTAGATCAGCTGTTTAGTTGCATCGTGTGGACACTTATTTAAAAAGTTTTTTTTAATGAATAAATCTGTTGCGATATTAACGTATTCGTTATACATTTTGAAAATATTTGGCATGGATTTTCCGTGATACGCGATATTTTAAAGACAAGTTTTTACTTGTAAACATTAAGATATACCTAAATACGTGTTAATGATTTGAGACCGGATCATAAGCCATTATTTTTGCCAGGCATTTGCTTATTTTGTCTATATTTATTAATTTTATCAGATTTTACTAAAAACCTGTTTTGGGTAGCTACATTGTTGAATGCAGAGAAACTGTATTTTTGTATGTGAAAAAAAACATAATATGTATAATATTATGGGGACCTCACAAAAAACATGAAAAAGTCAAAAAAAAACATTAAAAATAATTTAAATACTATAATTACTAATTATTATTATTAATTATTATTATTAATTAGTATAATTAATGAGTATAATATTGCATATCTTCATACTTGCATTTTAAGTATTTTTTAGGCATATTTTAACCTTTTTATGTTGCATATAATTCGGTCTCTAATAGTTGAGTAACTTTATTTCAGAACAAAAATATTGCAACAGGCATAAAAAAACAATGTATATGATCCTGGGCTTTAAAGAATAAGACGAATTTTTAGATTAAATTATTGGATATCTAGGTACATATACAAGTATAAAATACGTAAAGGCGCATCTTGTTTTTGTTAGTGTTAACTACAATATAAAGAAATAAAGGTTAACACATTTTTGCTTAGCACAAAAAACGAGATACGCCTTTATGTATTATTAACGGCGATATATTCTGTACATTTCAACATAAAAGTTGAAATGTTATTTATGTCAAAATCACAGTAGACAACTCCTGTGTCAGAAGAATAACTTTTATGTCGAAATTTTTACTAAAAATTGAATCCCTGTTCTAACTTAAGTAACATTTATGTCGAGTTTTTCTAATAATAATTATTAATATCAAAAGGCTGAGAAGTGAGTCTTTTTGTGCCGAAATTGGAATATTTGATGTAAATTAACTTTACTTTCAAAAGACACAATCAACAAAAATTAAGGTAAATTTATAAAAAAATTCCAGATTTTTTGACAGAATCTGGTAACCCTGCGCACACTTTTCAGCCTCATGGCATACAACATTTTATTTCCAAGGCATACTTTTATTTGTTAAACAATACATAAAACGTACAATTATAATAATTATTAAAAGTAGAAAGTAAGGTTAGATTAGATCTGACAGTGGGAGGTATTTTTACATCCCAGGAGGTTTTTTGCTTAAAAATAATAATGTTTATTTATGTCATAAGGCTGAGAAGGCTTTTTGTGCTGAGTTCAAAGTTTTAATGCCGACGCGTAGCGTGAGAAAAGCACAAAAAAAATTATCAGCGGAATGACATATGTAGATACAATGTTTCATCTTCAAGGCACAATTCTAGTTATTAAACGATAGGTAGGTAAATCATACAATTATGATAAAAAATATTAAAAGTAGAAAGTGAGCTTAGGTAAATTTGACAGTTGTCAAATTTTTTGATTGGTTTAAACGGTTTTTTACAGACTAGGAGGTAAAAAACGTTATCCGACTTTAGTAGTGATGGTTGACAATTATATAGTTTAAATTATAAAACGCTTGAATATAAACTTTTATAAAGTGCAGCGACTTTCTCGCCTCTAGGGCGATGCAACCTAATTGACGCTATTTTCTACTAGGATTGCCAACTTAACCGAAAATTACGTTAAAAAAAATTTCGTTGTTGGTATAACAACCCCATGAGCCTGTTTGGTTTATTTTTACAGGCAAGTAAATAAAAAAACGCAAATCACAAGATAAAACTCATCTGTTATTCCACAGCTGATAAATATTGAGTACCAACCAAAATATTTAGTGAAAATTCGTAAATCCCTACAAAATTCGCCGCGACTTTATTGCATGAAAATAGAACTTGTTCTATTTTAGGACAAGTTAGATCAGCTGATTAGTTGCATCGTGTGAACACCAAAAACAAAGTCGCGCGAGAAGTTGATATAGCCTTAAATCTACAAGGAATAAATAATAAATTTAATATAATAATTTTTTAAATATTTTTAATATGTACCTACCTACTTTAAAGAAATTTTAAAAATATATTAAAATGAACTGCTTTTACATTTTTATAACGAAAATGTCAAAAATATTAATAAATCATAAAAAGATATAATATGAGTAATCTATATTACCTATACATTTATCTTTAGTTTAAAACCTATGAGTATGTAATTAACTGTGGGAACTACTTAAACTTAATTTAAGTAATCTAACTGGGTACTGTACATGCTTTTATTAAAAACAAAATATTTGCTGACGTCAGTTTACAATACATTTATTTGTATTTATACAGGTCTAGAGTGATTAAAAAATGTCGGTTTTTTAAAGTTTTAACTAAACAAGCCCAAATTATTTTTTATACAATTTAAATATCCATTCGCACTATTAAAATGTTATAAAAAAAATAAAAATGTAAGAATAGGTAGGTAGGTACATATATACATATAATAGGTAGGTAGGTATATATTTGCAAATAATAATTTAATATTATCTATTTCAACTAGTTTTTGTTAAATGCTTGTTACATTATTACGTGTTATTCAGTATTGATCGTCTTTATCTTAACTTTTGCCGTGTTTTAGCGTTTGATACTAGTTTAGGACTCACCCTGACACAGAATGCCTGTAACCTATCTGATAATTATTGGGCTGTCCTTGTTTAAGGGTACTTCCGTAGCCTTGCTGATTGCTCGCAGATGCCGGGCCTCCCGAATATCCGTTATGGGGGCCCGACTGGGTCGATGTGGTGACTCCCCACACGGTTGTCACGACGGACAACTGCTGCTGGGCTGTGGCGCCCCCTGGCGACCAGTCCCTGAAACAGGACAGCATTGTTACACTTAAAATTGATGCATTATCCACGTGCTTTATGCGATTGGTCAATCTTAAGCTTCCTTAGATGTCCCATGTAACAACTTCATTATGATCCTTATTATATCCGTATTTTTCAGGAGGAATTACCTACCACAAATTATCCTTAAACTAAAGTCCTTTGCTTAACACTATTAAATTCCACCGTACACAAATATTATTCTCTTATTCACTTAAAATCCCTTCAACTGCACTAAACTACGCACTTATTTTTATTACTAATGCATGTTCTGTTCGGTTTTACTACACATATCCAAGTAAGAAAAAATAAAATCCATTTACCAACACACATTAAACAATATTTGCAATTCTCATAAATTGGGTTCGTTAAATGATCTAATAGTTTAAAGTAAATATTATTTTTTTGTTTGGTTTCGTTTCAATTGGATTTTTATTTTTATAGTTCTTATTCAAAATGCACCGTACGTTCAAAATTCACAGTTTGTATCCAAATAAGAGGCACTTAAAACACACATTTCAATCCTCACAATTCACTAAATTCACATTAATCCAGATTATTTTGGCGCACAAAATCATTAACTTGGCTAATTCCTCCTCTGGCATAAGATCCAAATCCTTTAAAAATTCTGAAAAAAATAAACCTACCTATAGGATGTATATCCCAGCATTTGATGGTAAACATAAAGGCATATAAATACCTATCACTTTTCACAAGTCATATTATCCCAATAGTTTGTTTTTGTTAACTTTATGATGGCGGAGTAAGCACACTTGTGTAAGAGGCAAACTCTCGGTGCTTACGTACTACGCAACCAAAACCCGACGTTCGACTGTCTGCCTGTGGGAGAAACAACGGCACGTAGTCGCCAAGGGTGGGGATAAGGGGAAGTTGACCCGAGCGGCTTATTCTCCTCCATTCCATGCGGCCACAATATCGGTTATAACAGACGACGTTGCCGGATCACACAAACCAATACCGTGGGTGGCCTATGTTGTCATTCCACCTTTGTTGTTTCCAAAATTCCGAAAATCGTGTTATGCTATAAATTTAACTCTTATAGTTATACCTAATATATATTTTATTTATTTATTTATTTATTCATGACCTCGAAAGGCAAAAACTGGTACCGAGGCCTATTAGCACAAAATTCAAGAACCTAAAATTAGGTAACACCTTAATACAATTTTTATATAATTATTAATATTTTATTACCTACTGCAATCCTAGTTATTATATAATTAACTAATAATAATAATTAATAAATTAATCCACTCAGTTGGATTTTGGTGTATAGGAAATCTCAAGGATAAGTACTAAGAATGTTGTTGTTTATGTTTTGGCAACGTTGCGGGCGGATAGCGACGCTTTACGGTCGGTCTCTCTCGCACTCGGCACGCAATTTAACTAGTGTGGATCACTTTGTGCAGCACTAAAATGACACCGAACTCGATACTGAAAGCATAGGTACCTGCTGTTGTCTGCTGCGCGCTACACCAGAGTCGTATTCATTCTTTCTTTGCGTTTAACCCACACCCAAATTTTATATAAAATTCATTGTTCTAAAATATAAGTATACCTATCTACATCAAATTATGCGTAATTATCAAGGTGTTCTGCAAATATATTTTAATTTAAACCAAAATGTCTTTCAAATGTGTTTATGTATACTATACATACATACATTGTATAGTATATTAAATTTGGTTGGATCACTCCTAGGGTTTATCACATTCCTCTTTACACTGTAAGACTTACCTACAGTTTGGTCCATAGAAAAAGATTGGTTTGGTCTGCCTGGTAAAATATTTAAATCTTAGACAGCATTAAAGATTTGGCTCATCATGATATATTTAATATTAAAGAAAAACTCGAAAAGAATGCGCTTATTAACCAAAAAAACAGGTGAATGCTATGTGCATAATATGCACATAATATGTGCATAATATGCACTGCATATAGCACTTGTGCCCCGCGGTTAGATATTTTTAAGGGTATTGTTGGCGCCAAATATTGCGCCATGGGTTGGTTTAAGTTGTGGATGTGACTTTGGTTACATAACCTTTATTTGTTATTGTTAGTGTTATTGTTATTGTTAGTTGAGAGTCTCAACTTAAGAGTATCGATAATATCTTTGATATTTATATATTAAAAATAGTTATCCATGATAACTACAACAAAAAAAATAATAAAAAAATTATCATAAATATTTAATATATCATAAAATATATATAAAATTTTTAATATATTAGGGTGTATATTAGGGTGTTTCAAAATAAGGCATATATATTTTTTTTAATTCATGTGAAATTCTTGTCACTTATGCTGAAAAAAAATTCTGTCAAAATTTGAGCTCCTAATATTAATTTTAAAAGGCCCATCATCGAATTTAAAGTTTTTCCATTGATTTAACATGGAAAAATAGTTTTTTAAGATTTATTTCGCCTGCATGCTATGTAGAACTTTTTTTTTTGATAAACAATCACTGGTCCTTTTTTAGCATTAAATTATCTACAAAAAATCTTACAGAGTCCAGTCTGTAATATTAATTTTAAAAGGTCCATCACTGAATTTAAAATGTTGCCATTGATTTAACATGAAAAAATAGGTTTTTAAGATTTATTTCGCCTGCATACTTTGTAGAACTTTTTTTTATAAACAATCACTGGTCCTTTTTTAGCATTAAATTATCTACAAAAAATCTTATATAGTCCAGTTTGTAGGTTCAGCCGCTAAATGTAAAAATATCAATTTTTTTTAGAATTTATACGTTTCAACGTTAATAAAAAAAGAAACAGTTGAATCTACAGACTGGACTCTGTAAGATTTTTTGTAGATATTTTATGAGGCGCCGTTCAGGACATAATTAATTTTTCTGATATATATATTTTATTTGCAAATATTTATATAATTTGTATGTATTTATAAAATTTTTCCATATATATATATAATTTTTATAAAATATTTTTATTTTTTTTATATATATAAAAGTTTTTATTAATATTCAAAAATTTCTATACCTCAAAAATTATTCTATATCTCAATAAATTTTCTATGCCCCAAAAAATTTCTATACCTCAAAAAAGCGTTTGGCAAACTTTGTGATAAAAACAGCTTTCATATTACGCCGCTAGATGGCAGCGCTGAAAGCCGCTTTGAGCAACTAGGGCTGATACACAATTACCCGAAGCATGTTTACAATCAAACGGGAACAAACAGGGATTTTAGCGTTTATTTTTATTATATGATCTATAGTGATTTTTTGAATGCATATTTTGTAAACATAATGTTACCTGGGATTAAAATGAATTAAAATCAATTAAAACTATTAATTTTTCATCAAAATATCCATAAGTTTTAATAGTTTGAACATTATACACTATATAGTGTATAATGTGCAAAGTATTCAAACTTATACAGGGTGTCCCATAATTAGCGTGCAATACTTTAACGGCAAATTATACGCGTAGAATCTGCAGATTCTACGCGTAGAATCGGCATGCCGTTAAAGTATTGCACGCTAATTATGGGACACGCGTACAAAAATAAGAAAACCCCCGAAAGAGGAGCCCCTGAAGATGGTTTTTATTTAATATCTCTAAAACCGTTCAAGATAGAAAAGTGAAATTTTATAAACTTTTTTTTTTGAGTGAACATTTTAAAGAAACATAATTTATATAAAATTTTCAAAAAAGATTATACAGGGCGGTCCAGTTTGTGATACATTAATTTTAAGGTAGACTTTCATTAATTAACATTTCTCAAAAATGTTTCCCAAGGAAAATACAGGTCGTCAAAGATTACAAAAAAACTAGTTTTCTCCTTATAACTTTTAAACCACAACATTAATTTTTATCAGATTTAGCACAAAATGTAATATAGTCAGTGCCTTAATAATAATGTGGGGGGACTTCTCCCCTTTTCACCTCAGTCTTTGACGCCACTAAAAATTTTAAAATATTAAATAAATTTGTAGGTCAAGTTTTTAATTTAGAGAAATAATTTACTCCTCTAAAATTTTGATTTGGGTCTTTGTTTCTGAAATATTTGCTTTCCGTCAAAGTTTATAAAAAAAACTCGTTTCCCCATCATAACTTCTAAACCACTTAATCAATTTTTATCAAATTTTGTACACAATATAGTCAATGTCTTAGTAATGATGTGGATAATTATTTAAAAAAACATCAGTTGCGCAGTTACTTGGGGGTCTGCTCCTCTTTTTACCTTAGGCGCCACTGGAATTTTTTTAATAATAAACACATTTTTAGATTATCTGTTTAATTTAGAGAAAAAAACTACTCATGTAAAATTTTGATTTAGTGCTTCATTTTTTAAATAATTAATTTATTTATCCAAGAATACTTTTGCCGCAGTTTTTTTGGAGTGTGTTCCCAAATATTTCAAAATCGAAGTCCTAAATTAAAATTTTAGCAGAGTAGTTTTTTTTCTCTAAATTGAACAGACAATCTAAAAATGTAATTTTGCGAGGAAACATTTTTCCATTAATTAAAAACTTGACCTAAACATTTATTTATTATTTTAAAATTTCCAGTGGCGTCAAAGACTGAAGTGAATAGGGAAGCAGCCCCCCAAGTAACTGCGGCACTGATTATCTACATTATTATTAAGGCACTGACTATATTACATTGTGTGCCAAATTAATTTTGTGGTTTAAATTTAAACCACAAAATTAATTTGGCACACAATGTAATATAGTCAGTGCCTTAATAATAATGTAGATAATCATTAATGTTATGAAGAAAAAACTATTTTTTTACCTTATTTTTTATGCTTTATCACCTATTAAAATTAATGTATTATAAACTGGACCATCCTGTACAATAATGAGTGATAAGGTTTATTATTATGCCACCAATTGAAAAAAAAACGTTAAATTTATTATATTATGTCTAATTTCAACCTTGAATAACTATAAAAGAAGTGTATTTATGAAAAAATTATAAGAGACATTTTTTGTAGAGCGTTTAATTTTCTTTAAAAATATGTGTCGCTTATTCCAATAAGTTCACTCAAAAACGAGTTATAAAATTTCAAAGTTAAGAAAAAAGAATTCCTGTGTTATTTAAACGTAAAATAGAAATTCACGATGAGCGACCTCTAAATATTAATATTAAGAGCTACAATTTTCACAGGCTTCTTTTTTCACTACTAGGAAGATATTTCAATGCGGGCTTTGAAGAAAAAAAATATTCGATTTTTTTGAACCAGTCTAATATATATATATTAGGGTGTCCCTTATTTTTATTTTTTTTACGCATACCCTCTAATTATATTTATTACGTGTTTATATACTCCCAGTAAAAATTTCAGCTCATTCTATAAACGGGAACCCGTGCCGACTTGCATCTGAACCCTCCGTTAGCCAACGTTAGGCGCGCGGAATTTTGTAACACGGTTGGTCGCGAGGTCTTCGATCGTAAGTCATTTTGTGTTTGTTATTATGTGACCCTTATATTATAAATTATTGATAAATGTTAAAATATAATTTTATTTATGTGTATACTTTGATAAAAATGTATATTTTCACAGTGAGTGGCTAGTTATCCGGAAGGGTCTGGTGGGTTTTACTCTAAATAACTAAAAGAGTCTATTGTGAGAGATGACTACCGAAAACTTATTGAACTGTCTGAAATATTTTTGGGAGGACATCAAGAAAAGAATTGCTTATAAAAAGCTGAAATTTCATATAACAGTATATTTTAGCAATACTAATTAGTATATTAATATATTTAAGGGATAAAATCAACTAAATTAGTGAAACAAATGATAGAAACAAAAGCAATAATATTAATTAGTAATCATA